TTCAGACTGAATTCAATTTACAAAAAGACTTTGTATATCATAACTTTCATCCTGGAAATATATTATTGCATATTAATACTCATATTGTCAACTTTGAACTTACTGAACCAGCAGATACAAAATCTAATCAAAAATTTACGGAATACTACCTTATATTAGTCCAGAGATGCTAAATGGAAAGTCATACACTGAAGCTACAGAATTATAATATATATCTTATAATTAACATATATAATGGAGTATGACCTACAATACCTAATAATGTTCTTGGATGGTGCAAATTTGTTATTGAAAAATGTTGGGCTCCTATTCCAGAAAACAGATTATCTGCAAGGAACTTTTCGACTTTATCGATTCTATCTGCTTTACAGATATCAACGATGAGAAGTGGAAACCAAATATTTTGCATTTTAATTACTATAGCTCTTTAGAGTATTCTAACGCTAAAAAAGATGAAAAAATTAAGGAATGTCTTATACTAGAAAGGCAGTATCTTTACTTTAAAATTAAATTTCAACTGATACAGGTACTTTCTACTTCAAATATAAATCATATGGACATTTCATATTAATTAAGAATTTCAGTGATAATTAGAATTATATATATATTCCAGATGAAGGTAATTTACTACATGTATTTAAATTGGTATTAATAAATACTCTAGAATATGTTATATTGAACTTGATATAGATATTGATGCTGAGTCTACAAATAACAGCTTATTTGCTCCAAATAAAGCAAATAAAGATGAATTTTATTAGTTATTCTACGACTGTGCGCAGTAATGATTATTAATTGATTATAATTTCTGCTTGTTTTTTATATATCTCACAAGAATTTAATATTTATATCGAGAATAATGGAAAAGAAAAATAAAACACAAATTTTAAAGATCATAAAACGAACAACAAACGTCCTATTGAAATGTGTTGGAAGAATCAAATAACCAGTTTGTTTTCCATAGAGTTAAGAAGAATTCTGTTCAAGGTAAAATTTAAGTAATCTTGAGAAATAGTTAAAAGTTTATTCCTATTAAATGCTTTTATCGATATTGATGCCGAATCTACAAGTGCCAGTTTATATGTTCAAAATGAAACAAATGGAAATAATCACTTTGATCTTCTTTTTTATTAATTTCTTTAATTAATTGCTTTTTTTCTTTCTATTGCAAAAAAAATAACAAGTGAAAATTCCGAACTCGAAAAGGAAAAAAAAATTTATTACATAGAAATAGAAAATTTGAATTTGAAAAGGAAAACGAAAATTCATTACATAATAGGCAATTTGAACTCGAAAAGGAAAATCTACTTAATGAAAATGAAAATTTAAAAATTAGAATTAGGAAATATTTTATTTTATGATAATTCTTATATTTCTGTATTACTATTGCCATTAACGTTAATGCAGAGATAATTTTTTATTATTCTTTATTTTAATTGGCTATTACCTTAAAGTTTTAAATAAATATCTGCATCTATAAAACACGGCATATAATCATATTAAATCGTTTTTATAAAGTGAACTCATATATAGAGGGCATGCATATTAATTTGACCACTCTTATTTCAGCTTTAAAATCCCGCATAAAAAGCAAGTTATGTAATACATGCTTCAATCGGATCAGGCATGCTTTGACCAACCTTTGATAGTACTCGGACGGAATATCTTGTCAGACTTTCTTTACATATTATTCGAGATCTGCATGATTGAATGAGGTGAGCAATTGAGTTGCTTGGCAATTATATATTAAAAATCTCCACTTGTTATCATAGAGTATGGTATTTTTCAGGAGAGAGGTCTTATTCAAGACCCGTCGTTGAGATGTGAAGAGTCAAAAATTTTTTTGTTTACAACTGACATGTAGCGATCAACCTTTTGGAAAGTTCATATCGATATAATATGGAAAATTATAAAAACAAAATTGATCGAATTAATATGCACGCTCTCTGTAATGAAGGTTCTTCAAAAAGAAATTTGGAACAATTTATAAAACAACGTGATTGAACGGACCAATTGATTATTCTCATTGGGATCGCGAAAAAATAATATAAACGAGATAAATATTGGATCCTATTCAAGAAAAGAGACCAACTGCTAAGAAACATGATGTTTTATCACTTAACATTTTTCTAAGAATACTCGTTTGCTGTAATTTTTCTCAAAAAGTTTATCTTTGTCATCTCATTTGAACTGACTCTGCCGGAATGACCCCCTAATATGTGAATCATGTAATAATTTTTTATGTTATCAGAAATGATGACCAATTAAATTGTATAACACGAAAAATAAACAAAACAAAGACATATTTTTGAAAAAAGCTTGTATAGTGCATAACATCTAAAGTCATTAAATGTTTATATTTAATCAATCTATTATTGATCAAATTAGATTACTCAGAGCTAATTATCTCAATATTGATTTTTTAAATTTGCTTTTAAGTACTAAGCAAATTTATAGAAGAATATGTTTTACACATATTTATTTATTACTTGAAAAAGCCAATATTGAGATAAAATAACTATCACGATATTCTCTTTTTTCAAAAATTTATATTTTAAATGTAATACACAAAATAATCATTTTTTCTTTTTATTATTGTATAGTCAAATTATACTAGACTTAGACAAAATTGAATATTAATATATTTTTTAGTTATAAGAAATATATTAATATTTGTATTATCTGTAAAAATTTTTTTTTACAATTTTAACTTTGTCAAAATACCTTCCTTTCATCTTATATAAAATTTTTCAATTTTATTAATAAATATTTTTATTTATATATTATAATTTACAAAAACTTTCTCATTAAAACAAAATTTTCAGATTAAATCTAAATAATTCAAATAAAATTGAGAACTTTTCTCGATCTATGTATATTGCATTTTGCAAGTATTTTCAATTAAATATATATAGCAGTTTATAAATATATTGTAGATTAAATATATAAGCTCAGCCTTCTGATATCTGAATCTTTTGATATACCGAAGGTATTGGATTAGCTCATATAGTTACTGATGTTATAAAAGTTCCAGATTTTCTATGTTTCCACCCAAAAAACTACTATGATACTTACTATATAAAGAGCTTTCAACTTCATTGAATATAATATTATGTTTGGAAAAGCATGACAAACATTAATTTTAAGCAGATTTTTGAAATTGTAATTGTCATAATTAATTAATAATTATAATTATACTTTCAAATTCAATTTCAATTTTTTATAAATAAATTGTATCACATTTACAATCAGAATACTTTGCATATATATTATAACATAGGTTGTAGTTGCTTTGAAAGTTTTGACTTAACGTATTATAACTATATTTTACAAACAAGTTGTTAGAAATCCACGCTAAACTGACTAACATATATTTAATGAGAAATTGTCTTAAATTATTTTTAGTGCTCTGAGATTATCAGTTTATATCTGAAATTCTAAACAAGAGTAGTTTCAGACTTGAGATACCTAAATCAGGGTTAATGTGCTGTCCAATGGGACTGTTGGACATATATAATAAGATCCATTATACATAAGTTATAAAAACAAAACTTTTTGGTTTTAATAACCCGACGGCCAGGTCATCAAAACCAGTTATTAAAGTTTGAGGTGCAGTCTAATGTTGAATTATAAAAAGCATAAAACAAATATTAAAAATCTTTTATTTTATTAGCCCGTTCAAACGATCTAACCATTATTAGATGATGATTAGATCGCGTCCCGAGGTTACCGGTATTTTATGCCGCGTTCTGCTACAGTCTGTAAAAATAATTCTGCATATGCTTGTGCGAAATAAAGATTAAAGTTGTATGTTTATAAATAGTTTTTCGCTTTGATTATTTATTTAAGTCGCCCATGAATGGTACCCAGGCCAGGTATATAACATGGATGGTGTAGTCCAGGGGGAGATATTTTATGCCGCACTTTACGGTATTTTACATTCAGAACATTACTATTTTTATTTTTTTGCGTTACCAAGTTATCAGTATACATGTATACAGTTGTCCCTCTTTGTAAGAACATTTTTGCAAAATATTTATGGCTCGACATGTTCTTATAAAGAGGGACGATGTATATGCGACTGTTAAGCTTTTTGTTCACACGAACAGAAAATAGAGTAAAAAGAAATGTCGACAACAGCTGAATCCAACAAAAACTCGATACAATAATAATGACAAAGTCCATCTTAGATTATTTATTTCACACACTAATGCATACTACACATCTGAATGAGTATTGCACTTTCTAAAATTATATATCGATGTGGCTTCTAATTCAAGTTGTAGGGTTTTTCTGTGTGACTAATTGAAAAAACAATACTTTATGTCAATATATTTGATGTCGCAGCACATTTACGCATAATTGCTGTATAGTACATTTTCTTTGGTGATGTTAACAAAACCTAATCCCAAAAAGCTAAATGTTTCGCCTTTTTTCTTTTAGGTAAATATCTAAAACAAGAGTAATGAAAATATAATTTAAATTAACACTTATACATCTGTACCATACACCACTATGAATTTTCTTTAAATGGTCCTTTAATAGTACATGTATTAGTTCCAAATGTATATGTACATGTATATGTACATGTATATGTATATGTACATGTACGTCGTTCTATACGTATTTGTTAATGTCAATGTTCTTTTATTTACAATAATGGTCATTGTCTACGTATAGAGCTTACATTGCATAATAAAAGTGACATACATGTACATTTACGTACTTTGCATTTTTAGTGTGCATCAGTTGCAGACCAATTTAGCCTTTGGCGAAATTAAATGGATGATGATACATGTATTTGTCAAACAATGTTCTATTTAGCGTTAGCGTTAGTGTACGAACATGTACGTATGTGCTCATAAAAATTGATCTACGATCTACGTATATCATAAATTCATTTATAAAAATGCGAACAATTCACTTTCCAATAGTGAAAAACAATAAATTTCACACTACAAATAAAGACCATATATTTTATTCAACAGTGAGCAACGAAAATGAATAAACAAAGCTCTCCAATATTTTTTTTGGTTATTTTGGTCTTCTTCATCTTTGTCTTCTTTTCATCGGCCAATGCTGTGCCAAAGAGGATCGATAAGAGAGCATGCGAACAGATAACCCGCTCCTGCATATTTGTACCTGTAAAGGGAAATCCAAAAAACCAAACTGAAGGTCGAATTGATTTCCAACAGCAGGTCAGTTGCAATGTGATTGTCCAAGGACTGTTATCTACAGTTCATCATCCCAATGCGACCGGCTATGATACTCTTCTTGCACACTACGATGTCCATATTACCACAATCCCTGATGCTGCAGAACCTTCTTTCCTCGATCTGGAAGATTTTATCACTACACCTTCTGATCCAGACAGAATCAATGAGCCTTTTTCCATCACATTACCAGGAAACAAATTTCGTGCAGATTTTTTTACGACTGCAAACAAATACTATATCGTAGTGGCGTTCGAACCTCAAGGCGAAGGAACAGTGGATATGATTCTTGGATCTTGTCTGGTCATTGACCCTAACCACCCATAAAACTTAATTCCGTGACATAAATTGTTTTTCTATCACTTTGATGATATACCTTATTCGGTTTGAATTTTTCTGACCTTTCTCTATATGTTAACATATACACATGTCGATGTAATTTGTATCTTTATAAATTCCAACAAAAAGTTATATTATTTCACTTCTAGAAAATAGATATGTAGGTAGATAGATTATATTAAATACTTTTTAGCGTTATCAACCGAATAAAGAAATTCAGTAAATTATTTGGCTCAGTTATGTTTAGCGTTAGTGTATCACGAAAGCTTTGGGTCGTATAATGTTACGTGTTTATATTGTTTATCATGTTGCTTGAGAATTTTCTAACATCTAAGCAAACTTCCATTTCTGCAGCAATCACGATTTTTGCAGTAAAAATTTATCTTTGCGTTTGGTAGACAGGATTATGGGAACAATTCGAATTTCTTTTGGCATGCATTTGGAATTGGGTTCGAATTTATTATTTTATTTGAATCTCAATTTACCGTATTTTACACCCCTTTGGAAAATTAACCTTTAATTTAATCTCAAAGTTGTTAATTCAGTAACGTAAATTTGTGATGAAATTACACTGAAAAAATTGGTCTAATAAGGAGTTAAATGTTTTATGGAGGGAGTACTTTAGTTCACGAAATAAGATATTATTTGTTATGAAAATGCATTCATATCTCGAATTTATTCTATCATTTAATTAGTTTTTTAGGTATTAAAAATAAAACCGGTTTTTAACCTCTGGTCTAGTATTTTTGTTATAAGTATTGAGTAATAAAATTTAAAACTTTTATATAGAAAGAAAATCTCACATTTTAATATATTTTATTGATAAATTTGATGCTATTGCATTTCTTTGATTGTTACTATAATTTTTTATTTATACTTCAATGAAAAAGTATATCGATATATACAGTATAATTGTATAACTACAGGATTTAGAATCAATATCACGATAAGTTATTATTATTTGAAATCTGTTCTGTAACCAATATTGCTAACAATTGGATGTTGATATTATCAGGGTGATTACAATGGGATCTAAAGAATAACTTCTTAAAAAACTATAAAACATGAAAAAATAGGTTGATTTGTGATCAACATGAAAATTTACATACTATTAATTTTGAGGATAAAGATAAATTATTAGAAACAAATTATCACTCAGCTGGATTACTAATACAGAAAATTTTCTACTTATATCTTCAAAATAAATAATTATATATTATATATATAAATATATTTATTAGATATTTTATTTATTTAATTAATAATTTACTATTATCCATATCAAAATTTACTAATTAAAATTAAGATAAAATAAAATTTTTTGAAAAAATTCTATGTAATATCATTTAAATAATTTTATATTTAAAAAATATTTAATAGTATTTAATATTTTATTTTTAAAATTCAAAAAATATTCAATATTGCAAATAATATAATATAAATTATTTGTTATTACTAACTAATAAATTGTTAATTATATAAAATTATCAAGCTTGTTTTTAGCATAAGATTACTTATTTCTAAAATTGAAATAAAAAATAATCTTAATTTTCAGATTTCAAAATAACTTATATTTAATTTAATGAAAATTTATCTAATTAATATCTTTAAATACTTTTGTATATTGCTCCAGTCGGGTCGGGTTCAAACCCGACCAGAAATATTTCGTATCAGCCTAAAAATCGTTATTTTTCGTTCAATATTAATTAAAATTAAGCGAAGATTTGTGGATATACATAATTACATTCCGGACAACTCTACTTAAGACACAAAACACAAGTGTCTTAGTAAAAAAAAAGATTATTAACGAAAAATCATTTACAATTTTCAGGTCAAACCCGACCCGACCCGAATAGAGCTTTACTTTTGCAATATAAAGAAAATTAGTTTAAGACCGTGTCCAATTTAAAAAGTTCGAGCTTGATTCAAGTTCAATTTTTTTGATATATATAGTAACTTATAAAAAAAGCAAAATACAAAAAAATGGCAAAAATCACATTATTGCATATCCAAATATGATGATATTGTTAGACTGAGAAAAGATAAATTTGGCTGATTGTTGGAGAAGTTTTGTTTCTGTAATAGCAAAAAAGTCAATGTTAAAGAAATTGAATAAAGTTAAAATATCATCTTGTTTATTATTTTGTCTGAGATTTCATGCATTAATTATAGTGAATTGCCAAGAGGATGGTGATTTATATTCAATAACATGTCTGAAATGATATGTTCAATTATAGAAAAAGTATTTTGTTGATTGGTAATGTCATTTAATTTTTTGTTTGTACTGAATAATTTATATTAGGTATTGTAAAAATTCCTGTTTGAATATTGAGAAATTGTGACAATAGTTTTGTGTAATCAGTATTTGAGTCTGATTGGTTATTATTAGTAAAGATAACTATTTTCTCCATGAAGTGTTCATTGTAATATGTTTGCATTATTAATAATATTTTCTAACATTCTGTTATTATTGAATTTTGATTTTCTTTCACTTTTTTGTTTTTTCAGTGAGTTCATTATTAATGGTTATTAATTCTTGAATTTGTCTATCTTTGAAGTTTGTGTTGTTGTATAAAAATAGTAATTGTGTTTGAATTTGAGAGGAGTATGAAGTAAAAGTATTTAATAATGAATATTATTGCAATTTATTTTTTTTTGGTGTTTGTAATAATGTAATATTAGAGTTATTAGATTTTTCAAAGATATTTATAATTTTGTTTAATTTGTCTTTGAGTTTTGAAAATTTTTCATTTAATTTATTAATATTTTTTTGAAGTTAATTAATTATTTTGAATGTGTTTTAGAAATATAATGAAAAATTAATTATTATAATTAGATTTAAAGATAATTGATTTTTTAGATGATAATAACTTTATAAATCATGTTTATATTTCAGTTAAATATGAGTTTGACTAGTTAAGTAGTACTTGTTTATAACTTTTTTAGAAGTTTTGATAATAGATTTTCTGATTTGTATTCTGTAATTTTCATAAAGTTTATTGAGTTAACAAAATTGAATTACTTTGTTATTTTTGCTATTGTATTCTTTGACAATATGATCTTTTTTGAAACGTATATTACATGAAAAAGTTTTTATCAGATTTTGCTGTTTTATAAAATAAATTTTTGTAATATAGCTATTGTCAAGTCAGTTTCAATTTTAAATATTATTCAAATAAATCTTTGATATTAATATCTGATGGATAACTGAAAAATAAAATATAATTTTGTTTTGGTTTTGGTGAGAATATTAGTATAATTATGTTATAAAAATTATTAATTGTATAATTTGTAATATACTCTTTTACTTTTTATACTTTTTATACTTTTATATATTTAAATAAATATAACTTAATCAATTGAAACTCTTTGAAATTTATACTTTTTCTTCTTTATTTTTCTATTTTTTATATTTAGTAAAATTGAAATTCTATTTTTAATTAGTATAATTATCTTATATATTATTTTCTTATTATTAATATTATAGTTGTATTTCAAGAAAAATATATAAATATAAGTTATATTTGAATTCTAACTCAATATGTTAAAACTTGAAAATAAATAATATAATAAAATAAATATCTTTTATACTAAAACAATTCATCTTTCTCTCTCAATTAAACAATTTAAATCTTGCAAACAAGTAACTTTGAGACTGTATTGAGCTAATCAAAATGTAGTGTTCCTATAAACTGAACCGAACTGGACTTTTGCCCGAGTTCGAGTTCAGTTCAAAATTTGAACTGAACTCGAACCAGACTTTGACTTGAGTTCAAGAAAGATTCGAAGTTCGAACTGAACTCAAACCAAACCATTATACAAGTTCGAGTCTGGTTCGAGTTCGATTAAAGATTGACATATAGTATCATATGCCAATTTGTAGCTCTAAAATATAAGCTATAACTTTAATTATAAGCACAATTTATAGTATTTAGTAAGAATTAAAAGTTTACATAGTGATAACTAAAGTGTTTTTATTTTTACATTTATTAAATTTGATCGTAAATGCTAT